GAAGGGAGGGAGAGAGGGGGAGAGGGATGAAGAGAGAGAGAGAGGGATGGAGAGGGAGAGAGGGATGAAGAGAGAGAGAGGGATGGAGAGGGAGGGAGACAGAGGGAGAGAGAAAGAGAGATAGAAAGAGACAGAAAGAGAGAGCAAGAGAGATAGAAAGATATATTTATATATATAGATATGTGTAAAATGTTTATTTTACATGCACACTATTTAATAATTTGTCAATTTAATTGTCAAATGGTGAACCTTGCAGTTTTTCCATCATAAATGCAGGAATCCTGAGATATCGTCCAAGAAATTCAGTTTCTTGTAGTTTTTTGTTTGTTTATTTGTTTGTTGTATTTGTTGAAGTAATCTATTCCTGAAGGTTAAAATTTTCTGGAGCTGGAGGTGAAGTTTGAAGATGTGACCCTGTTGTTTTGTGTCTCCAGGCTGATGCCACTCATGACAGGGTGGTGAAGAGGGAGGAGGGGGAGAAGCTGGCAAAGGTAAATAAATGAAAGATGAGGAAAACCTAAATAACCATTAGTTTTAGCAAAATATGCACATGTCTGCAGGACAGTTTAGATTTTTACACATACATTCTCTTTCTTTTAATACAAGCCGGCACATCTGTAAACAAAAATCTGTTAGAAACACAGTTTGATTCACTCTAGATAACATTTTTTATATTTATTTATCACTTACAAAAGGTTTAAATTTTTATTTTTTATAGTCCTATATTTATATTTCTCATGGCTAGTTTTTTACTTGTTAATTGTGTAATTATGTATTTTAACTTATATTGTTTACGTTTTAATTTAAGTGTTTCAACAAATGATCCACATTTTCTAAACAGCCGTGTAATTATTTACAGGAATGGGTAAATGAAAGTATCGGTGCTCAAGCTAGACGGATACAATTTACTCATTTCTACCTTCTGTCAGAAGAAAGTCTGAATAATTAACTTTAGAGTTGGACTTCCAGAATTAACATATTTAATAAACTACTGAGAAAAATGGCTGCTTACACTTAAAGTGATATGTTAAAGTGTTATTCCTGTGCAGGCGGAGGAAGCATTAATGTTCTGACTCTGCAGGAATTTGGAGTTCCTTTCATGGAGACCAGCGCCAGGTCAGGTCTTAATGTGGAGCTGGCTTTCACAGCCGTGGCCAAGTGAGTCCAATCCTCTCTGAAAGGGTTTAATATGGGGTCAGTTTGATGCTTTGTCATTAGGAATCATTATTATTAACAGTGTTCTTAACCAATAATCACATTAATAAACAGTCTGTTCACAGTTAAAGCAAAATAATTCATTAGGAAGTTTTCATATTATTTTTAAACTATTACCGTTTACTGCAAATATACTTGAATATTTCCGATAAACAGCATTTTACTTAAATAGTCAATTCTGCGTTGCTCTTGAAAACTGATCCTAAAAAATTCCAAATCTTTGAACAAAGCATGTGAATTGCAGTCCCTAAAGTGCACTTATAATATGTCAGGTCCTCTGGATGTTCAAAAAAAAAAAACATGGATTATTGAGCATGCATCAGGATGCACTTAGTATGTTTTTATTTTATTATGTGGGCACAACATGAAAATTTTCTGCACAAAAAATGAAACGCAATTACCAACACAGAGCTGCTCAGCTTGAGCTGAACCTACAAATATGTTCGTACCAAATATAGAAGTTCAGAAATTCATCAGTGTTTACAACTTCTGATATTATTTCTTAAAGCAATACATTAATAAAAACATTCTCCAAAGGACGGTGCTGAACCTACTGCATCGCACACCAAAGCCAAAGATCTCGGGGGATCTGTTAGTGCTCAGAGTACGTGTTGCAGCTGACTCTCAGCTACTACCTCCACAAATTATGGCTACATTTCTGTAAAACTGACTGAATAAGAGCAATTTGTGTCTGATAACTGTGGTGGCTATCTTCAGTAAAGTTGACTGAATGTTTTGAAATTGTATATGTACTTTCACTAATCACTTTGTAGGGGTTTCACAAACACACCCAGACATTACCAGCTTTTTATAGCGCCGGGGAATAATTAAGACCAATTTTAACATGATCTGAAGCGTTCTGGCAGAGCCCTGCTGCTGGTTTGCAGCATTATTAACTAGCTGCTCTTATCCAAGCCTGTGATCGCTTCAGAAAATGCTAATATATTGTTTGATAATTCAAAATGATCTTCAGGGCTTATGAGCATGAGGCAGAACCAGACATGCAACTGTTTTTCTTCATGTGACAGGAGGTCGAGCTCATTTTTCAGTATTTTTTGACCAACACACTCATGAAACAGTAACAGGCTCCATCTAGTGGCACAATCAGGAACTACATTAAACCTAATGAAAAGTTCTGAAAAGCTTCAAAATTCTTAGCTCTTTAAAATATGACACTAAGTCCATTTTAAGCAAGAAAACCCTCAAACTTGAGTTTAAAGTGTATAATTATTTTTTAATTATCTTTTTTTTTTTCCACAGAGAGCTGAAGCACCGATCCACGAAGGATACCGGTGAGAAGTTTAAGCTCCAGGAATATGTAAACAAGGAGGTGAAGGGGGTGGGCTGCTGCAGGTCCTAAATGGCTTCACGTGTTTGTCCATGTGTTGTTCGCTCATCTTTATACTGCTTGGGATCTTTTCTGGACTTTCAAAAAATGAGAAGTCGGCTTTGTGGAGATATAAACCTTTTTTTTCTGTTTCTCCAATCTCTGTATACACCTCCTCTGTTCTCCTCCTCATGCTTCTCTTTTTCTGCGGCTGTGAATGCAGCTCAAGGTTATGGTTTGAAAAAGAAAAGCAGCCCCCTTCAGTTCGCTCCCTGCTATTAGACATCTATAACTGTAGCTGCACAAGAGTCTGTTTAACCCTGAAACAAAATGCATCGCCTTGTGTGTTGAACATTCAAAGAATTTAATCCCAACATGATTCAACTCACTGGAGACAAAATGCATGTTGTGTAAAGTGGTTTATTTCTCACATGCACTTAGAATATCATTGGCAGCTTTATTTAAAACATTGTGGATGACTCTATGTATTCTAGATGTTTCATGTCGTTGGTTTTTCTGCCCATGTTTCTATCTTTGTAGAAGAAATTCAAACTGGCACCAGCATAAATTCAAAAATATTTCCATGATTAAAGTTATTTGGGTATCTGTATTACTGCGTCTTCTAAAATCTCCAAGTGGACATTGCAATTTTGAGTTTAAAGGTTTAGAAATTAATGTTTTTTTTATTTATTTAAACACTGTAAATGTACATAAGTGTGTTATGCATTGCTGTAATCTTATTCATCCTAAACTGCACTTTTTTTCCAATTTCTTGAAATAATTTAAACTCGAATGGCCTGAGTAGAGTTTTGACACATATGCTGTAAATACTTTTTTTCCCTGCCTCAGTAAAGGAGACGATCACGTTCAGTGGGGACCAGTGATTGTGATTAAGGTTGAGGGAGACTTCTGGTTACCTTATGTGTTGTTTACGTAACTTAAATGTCTCCAGTTTACTATTATATTCATATTTCTTGTTAATTGCTGTTTTGTAATTTGTTCCTTTCCATCAAATTATACATAAATATAAATGGGGTGTAAACGTTTACATATGCTGTATTTCATAAAAAAAAAAGTAAATGGACCAAGGTTTCTTATCTGTAAACGATATATAATGTATCCTTCGTAAACAAAGTGTGGCATCTGCAGAATTAATCTACAACATTCTGATTAAACCATTTCTACACAGAAAGTTGTTTTTTAAAACTAATTTCAGAGATTTTATCGTATTTTCCGCATTAAACGTCGCTCCGGAGTATAGGTCGAATCTGTCAAAAAATGATTTGTGAAGAGGAAAAAACAAAAATAAGTTGCTTCGGAGTACAAGTCGTGTTTATTATGCGTCACCGATGACCCCCGGGAAACGTGGGTTGGTGTTGCCAAAAATCAATTGGTGACTGTGGGAGCGTGCACGGGAGGACTCGCTGTTGCAGTTTAACAAGATTACGACTTTAAAACAATTATTTGTTTGCTTGACATTATAACAAAGGCGTGTCTCAGTTTAACCTTTTCTTAATAAATGCATTTTAATGGTCAAAAAAGCTTCATTTCACCTGTGTGGTGTGGTCGGTGTAGCGGTAGAGGAACAACATATAGTTGTTAAAAGCCTAGAGCAGGGATATTCAACAAAACTGCTCAGGGGGCCACAGTTTCTGGAAACTAGCAGCTCAGGGGGCGGACACCCAGTGATTAAAGTCAGTATGTAAATAAACCAAGTTTTACAATGATCTCTTACCTTTTAAATTTGTTTATTTTATTGCATTGAATCATAAATGCAATGAACAAAACCCAAACCCAGAACACGCACAGATTTTTTTTATTTTTATGAAGTGGGCCAAATTAAAGTCACCTCCGGGCCGGAAATGGCCCGTGGGCCACCAGTTGAATAACCCTAACCTAGAGGCACACTTGCGGCTGCAATTGGTAATGTTTACTCTGGTTCGTGTATGAACATTCAACGAGTCAGTCAAAATCTGTCATGAACAGAGAAAAAAATGTAAATAAGTCACTTTGGACTATACGTCGCAGGACTGGCCAAACTATGGGAAAAAAAACCATTGACTTATAGTCCGGAAAGTACAGTATATATTTAACTCCATTTCACTGTGCAGTACCCTTGTTACTACAGTTAATTATCCAATACAGATGTTTGTGGAACTTAGCAATTGCATTTTGTATTAATTTACACAAAGTGTCTCAGAGTCTGTAAGTACAAATTCATTTAATTTCTGCTTCACTTGCACAGCGAGGCAGTGCATGATGTGCGTGCAGGTTTGAATAAAAGCCTTGCTGCCCCCCTGTCATGCCCATATAACACCCCCATGCCTTTTCCTTCAGTGTTTGCACAAAGAATTTAATGTTTAGCCTTCAGTAAGCACAGGTTCGATGAGTCAAAGGAGCTGCAGGAAGTCTTTATGACGACTTCAGGCTGTTCAAAACCTTTGGGTTTCTCTCCCTGCAGGATGAAGAAGCCATGAAACACAATTTAATATTAATTTATTTTAACAATTTTGAAATAAGAAAAAGATTAAATAAAAGATGCAAAACATTACTAACTTACATGGTTAATGTTTAATAGAAGGAAAAATAGCTAATTAAACAGTTAAAAAATAATTGCAAAATAAATTAGACTATGTAAAATATGCAAATACACATGAGTTGGCTTTTATCTAAACCTTCTACCACCAGCACCGTATTTTAACTTTGTTCAACGGCTCCGAGATGCAAACTGAATTTAGTCAGAGAAGTATTGATGCTTGTTTAAATGATAAATGAGAACAAAAACACAGATTTTGTTAGAGCAGCAACAGCTCTGGTCTTCTTTCAAGTTCTCTCAGGTTGAAGTCACATCACCAAAACTGAATGAATGTCCCAGTTTGGGTGTGATCGACTTTTCCCAGTTTGGGTGTGATCGGCTCTTCTCCTTGGAGGAAATGACTCCGGCACTTTTCTGTTGTGGCTCCTTAAGAAGTTCTTGCACTGGAAGTTGTTCAAGCGCAGTCACGGTTTGTGCTTAAAATATGCCTCCACTGTAGACAAGAAAAAAATAAATGTCGAATTCAATCTGTGACAAACTTAAAAAAAAGAATAAAGGTTTTCTTCTTTGTTACCTGCATATTCCTGTGGTAGCATTGGTCTGTTGATAACAATCTGAAACGCTGCAATCCAATCTTTCTGATCCTGTTCATTCTCGCAAGCAAAGAGGAACTTTCTGTCCGGAGTCACGATTGTAACCCCGAACTGCCAGTGGTATCCCTGAATGTTGGGAGGAAGACCAGGAACGACGGTGTAGCTGTTTTCCTTGCTGCCGATGAACACCTCCCCTCGAGCGTAGGCGTCCTACAAGGAGAAAATTTAAAGCAGAGTCTGCGTTGAGTGATGAACTGTAGTTTCTATATTTTATTATAAGTAATTTCTGTAAAGAGAGAGACTCTTAACGCTATTTCTCCAAACTGATGTTGTTCAAAAGTTTTCTACAACAGGTAAGATATTCTATTAGTAGCCTTTCCCAAAGCCTCATTTAAAAAGATTGTGATGGACATGAGACCTGTCCAGGGGGTCCCCCACCTCTCGTACAATGACTACTGGATATGGGCACCAGTGACCCCATGACCCGAAAAGGAAGAAGTGGGTAAAATGGCTGGATGGATGGATGGATGGATGGGTGGGTGGGTGGATGAAGTTCCCTAAACTAAAATTGCCCTGTTGGTCACCAGCACCATCTACTGGTATATAAAGTTAAATTACAGTATTATTTCCCCAGTTATGCAAACAAAATACCAGTGGATCTTTGAAGTACATCAATCTTCTGTCATCCATTGTGAACCACCTCTTCTTGAAGCCCTCTGTGTGCTGGGGGACAGAACCAGAAAAAGTTCAACACAAAGTTCTGAAGGCATCTCCGCTTTAGGCTTTTATTGTAACTGTCTTGTCAATAAACACAAATGAGCAGAAGCAAATCACCTTTGGGCCCGTCTTCTCCATGTACCCTTCCTTTATGTAGTTCCTGGTTAGGTTTGGCAACAACTAAACAAATTAGAAAAGACACATTCAGATGATTATGAATTACTGGGAGTATTGTCTAAAATGTTCAATCTGGGTCATAAGATAACCTCAATATAAGTTGTAATGTCTGTTACTTATGGTGAGAAAGAAACTCCAGATAAATGTTCATATTTTTGATGCAAAGCAATTCAGATTAGTCAAATTTTGGGCTCTAAATACTGGTGAAGTTTAGTCTATATTTGTTGACCTTTGCAGAAACTGTATCCATCGTAGTTTAGGGCACACTCAAACTGACAGAAAATAGGACTTTTATCTAATTTAGCAGAAGACACACAGCAACATCCTGTGTAAGAGGAAGCAGGATAACTTCTTGCTGCAGCTGTATGTCATCACCCACCAAACCACAAGTCTGAGCTTGACTAAAGAAGATATGGACTGTTTGAAATGAGTGTTTTAAGAAAAATGGTGGAAACTTTTAAATAGGATTGTAAATAATGGAATTGTAGATCTGACACGTTCTTACTGACCAGGTTTAAAAATGGAGGAGCGAGCATGAGCAGCTGTTGTCAGCAGCAAAAGTTACTCTTTTACATAAAATATTTTAAAGTTCTGTCTATGGTTGTGTTCTGTCCCAAAAACAATTATGACTACATTTTTCTGAGCAGTCAGGTTTAGCTTCGTGGAGAGGAGCTATCGTTAAATTCATTTGACAAGTCGAGGTTTCAACACGTTGAACATGTATATTACAAGATATATGCACGTTTGATTTACAGGTGGCAGAAAATCTTGGGTTTGCTTTTTTTCAGCATAATAGATGTTTTATGATTTTTAATGTATTTATTTCCAATTATTTATATACAGTATACAATACATTAAAAGGTGACCCTCACATAATCCTAACATGACTTTTTTAAAACGATAAATCCTCAAAGAGGATTATAACATGAGTGATGGGGGAAGATTATGTAAAGGTCATGGATGTTTTCACTAATGTCAAATTAATATAGAGCCATGTATGTGAAGATGAGAGAGCCTTTCTGTTTTCTCAGAGAGGAGCCTGATAACTGATAACTAACATCTTGAAGAGCTGTGAGCTGTGAAGCAGAGGTTGTCTTGACCTCTCTGATTTAAGTTTTTGCTAACTTTTTCTCTGTGAGCAGACCTTGGAGACGGAATGACATGTAAACATCTTGTATTTCAACACTGCTCTTCTTGCAAGAGTAAATCTGGGTTGACTTTCTAGTTTTCCTTGTGTGGCTCATATTTAATGAGTTGATGGGATGATTAAACTATCCAACAATGAGGGTCGTCCTCTGTTATTTTGCAACAGACCATCTCAGGTGAAGCTTAGACCATGTAATTTAATGTGAAGTAGAGTTGCAGGAGTTAAAAATGCCTCAACATTTAGTCAAACTATGATTCATCTTAACTGTGGTTGAAACTGAAATCTGCATGTTTGATTGTTATAGTAATCATGCATTTTATGCCAGAGGTCAGTGGAACATTACTGCAATAATTTATAAAAAATGAGCATTAAAATGTTTTTTTTCTCATCTCTGATTGAACCTCAGATAAATAATGTTTGCAACAAGTTTAATTTAAAGCAGTAGTGGTTTTTGCAGGAATATTAACTGACTTTTGTTTTGAACACAGTTTACATTTGTGCTTCAGGGACATTAGAGTCAGTTAACTGACCGTTAGTTCTCAGATATTGCTGTGTGTCATTATTTGTGCATCGTTCTACACTCACCTCGGAGTCGAGGGCGCCAGGAAAAGCCACCTGCAGGTAGTGAAGCCTGGCTGCTCTGATGCCGTTAAACCAGTCCACCATTTCCTTCAGCCAAGGGCAACAAGAAAACAAAAATGATTCCTACAGTGATAATTGTAGTGATATTTGCCTCCAACAACACACACAGTACTCATGCAAGAAAATAATTATTTTAAAGGAAATTATGACAAATGCATCAGAAAATGTCTATGTACTTTTAAAAAAATTGTTAATTTTTACAATTTTTTAATTTTTATTAAAAGGCAAATCTTACTGATGTAGTAGTCACGTCGGTACGTGCCACTAGTTGTAGTATGACAATATATCCCCGTATATATGCATACTTTTTCACGAGTTCCTCATCTTTCTGAATTCTTTTCCATTCTCTTCATGAATTCTCCTTCTAACATGAACTGGGAAGTTGCCACATTTTAAATGGGTCGACTTCCGGTTCATTTGAGAGCTTTTGATTGGTCGATGGACCAGAAAGAGGTGTGGTTTTTTGACGTAAGGTGTTATCTAAGCCAAGGTCAGAGAATGAGATTGTTCAACAACTGACAGAGAGATTATTGCAGAAAAGCAGACTTCGTGGAGTCAACTCTTCTGTATCTTCTGTGGTGATTAAACATGACATTTTCTTCTCAGTAAACATTTTAGTTGACCGAAAATTCAACTTTCACATACTTACGTTGCTTGGCTCATTTCAGACAGAAAATCAAGAAATGCATATTAACCTGATTTCTTCTTTGAATGAGGAATAAAAATCATTACTTACTGTTTATGTAAAATAAAAATGAGTAGTTCTTTTCAACCTGTAACATTGAGTGGAACTAACACAATTTGATTATTAAACATTTGTAAAACAGTAATGATTATAGAGAATTGTCTTTTCTGCTTGATTAATTCAAGAAAGAAAGTCACCAGATGGCTCAGACTGTATTCAGATCAATGAAAATAACAGTCTCTGTCCATCTGATAGATTTGAGGTCATCAGGGTCAGATCAGGGTCAGATCAGGTTCACTACACTGACATCAACTATTGAATGAAAATTGCAAATATCTACCACTGGAGGGAGACACATGTCCTTTCACATGATTTCAGTTCCAACACCAACTCACCTTCCCATCCTCATGGTACACAAAGATATTCCTGGTGCTGTTGTCCTTCAGGTAGGTGATCTGCAGACCGTGAGGGGTGCCGATTTTAGCCGGCTGGAAAGTAGCGTTCACACTGTTGATCTTCATTATCGCTTTGGGCTCTCGGGCCTGCAGGAAGTAACGTTTTAAAAACATAATTAAGTTCCAAGTCTTTCAAAATGGCTGTTAAGGTTTCAAAAGTGTCATGAAATGTGCTTCAGCCTTAAAAACTAATAGTAATATAAATAAAAGCTCACATCATGCTTGTTGAAGTATTTCAGAACACCCTCGCTTTCGGACAGAATAAATTTTCTGTTGAGGTATTGTCCATTGTCTCGTCCTCGTTTCCATAGAAACCCCTCTCGGTAGCCTGCAGATTCACAAGAGTCCCGCTTCATTACAAAGTGCCAAAACAACGCCGAGCAAAAACCAAACTGTTAAATGCAATAAAGTTCAAACTAAACACAAAATAAACATATGAATGTATTGAAAACAAGCAATTAAGGATAAATAAATGTGATTCAGTTTTAGAACAAACTTGATTCTTGATTTTCAATTTTAGATCTTTTTTTTTTTTTCATTACTTTCTGGGCTGCTTGAAAACCATAATATTTAATGTAAAAATTACAGAAAAATTACCTTGTTTATTCAGCTGCATTATTTTATGGTTTTGAGTGAATATCTGCCAGTAAAGTTAGCTTCATCCACTTTTTTTTATGATGACCTGATTTTTTCACTCAATGTTTGCACGTGTGAACACATCAGGCTTTTAATAATAACTAAAAGAACCTCATCTGCCACAGTTAACATGCTGTTGGATCCAGGACAGTGGCCCCATACTGACTGAGAGATTGTTTTGATCGAACAGACTGGCAGGTTTTCAGAGAAACTGCTGAAAATGGAGGTTCGCTTGATCTGGACCAATACGCATCTTCAGTTCTGGTTTACATTAGCACATGTACTGACACCGTCTCCACCATCAGATATGTTAAAAGTTACCCAAACAGAAAACATTGGCTGAATGCAGAGGTGTGCACCCTGCTGGCAGCCAGGAACACTGCCTTCAAGTCTGGAAACTCACAGGAGCTGAGAAGGACAAGGAAAGAGCTGGTTGATGGTATTAAAAGGGCCAAGGCCACATGTGCACAGAGGATCAATGGTCAGTTCACCTCACAAGACCCTCGGAGCATGTGGAGGGGCATTAAGTGCATAACAGATAATAAAGGAAGGAGAGAACAATGCCCCAAAGACCCATCTCTCCCTGATGCCCTCAACAAGTTCTGTTCACGCTTTGAAGAACCGAACAGACCACACAGCACTAGACTCACCTCACCACCGGATGAAGAGCATCTCAGCGTGACCTCAGCAGCAGTAAGGAGTACTTTCAGGAGGATTAATCCACACAAGGAAATCGGCCCAGACAACATCCCCGGAAAAGTGTTGAAAGAATGTGCCGGTCAACTCAGTGAGGTGCTGGCAGACATATTTAACACCTCACTTACCCTGGAGACAGTTCCCACCTGCCTGAAGACCACAACCATCATCCCAGTTCCAAAGAGCTCTACAGTGACTGGTCTGAATGACTATTGGCCAGACCACAGTTAGTGAGGATCCACAACTTCTCCTCCTCCACCATAACCCTCAGCCCTGGCTCTCCTCAGGGATGTGTGTTGAGCCCTCTCCTGTTTACTCTGCTCACGTATGATTGTGCAGCTACCTATCCAGGCTGTCACATTGTAAAGTTTGCAGATGATACAGCGGTGGTGGGATGCATCACAAACAATGATGAGTCCAGCTACAGGTAGGAGGTGGAACATCTGGAGAGCAGGTACGAAGAGAATAACCTTCACATCAACGTGAAGAAGACAAAGGAGATGATTGTGGACTTCAGAAGGAACAAACACACCTACATCCCCCTGAACATAAGAGGATCTGCGTTGGAAGTGGTCTCCAGCTACAAGTACTTGGGTGTACACATGAATGACAATCTCAACTGGAGCAACAACACCAACAGCCTGATCAAGAAAGCTCATCAGAGACTCTACTTCCTCAGGCGGCTGAGACGAGCTGGTCTGGGAAGCTCAGTCCTCACCTCCTTCTACAGGTGTGCAGTGGAGAGCATCCTGTGCTCCAGCATCAATATGTGGCATGGAGGCTGCACAGCTGCAGAAAGAAAAACTTTGCAGAGAGTGGTGAAGACTGCACAGAAGACTGTTTGAGTCAGCCTCTCCACCATCACAGACATCTACACCTCCAGATGCAGGAAGAAGGCCACCTGCATCATGAAGGACCCCACTCACACAGCACACATACTTTTTGCCCCGCTACCCTCAGGCAGGAGGTTGAGGAGCATTAAGTGTAGAACCACTAGACTGAGGAACAGCTTCTACCCTGAAGCTGTGAGACTCATGAATCTCTAACAAGAATAATCACTGTGAAAAACCATATCATGTTGCTGCTGATCTGTTTCATGTTGCTGTGTTCATTCGTGCTCGTCTGCTCACACAGACTCATGCTCATGTTCGTGTTGCTGTTCGACGTGATGTTTTTATGCTATTAGTGCTTAGAGTATTTTTAGTTTATGTTTTTCTTAGTTCATATCTTAGTTGTTATTATTGTTTTTCTTTTGCATTTTATTGTTGGATGTAACTGGGACTCTGTGTACATAATTTTGTTCCATCACATGTACCACATGTGGTACGAACGACAATAAAGAATCTCTGACTCTGAAACAGAAATGTTTTCCCTGTGAATTATTGCCGCCTCATGTTCTGCTCCCTGCATCCTGCAAACACCCTCCTGCAGCAGTTTCTGACATTTTCAGCAAAAGTTGCATGACTTTTAACTAAAATCTCTTAAAAACACATGAAAAACTGGTGACCGTGTGTGTGTGTGTGTGTTCTGAGCATACACACACGTGTAGTCAGTCTTCTAAAAACCTCATTAATGATGGAAGGAAGCAGCTGAAACATGAATAATTCAGCCTAATTCAGCTTCTTGTTCAAGCTTAAACATCACTAATGGACACACACACACATTTGGGTGCCTTCCTGACGCCTGCCACTACATCCATTTTTAAAAGTAACACTGCCATACCATGCTGTATTTACACACCCAGTCAACCCAAAATCAATCAATCAACCTTTATTTATACAGGTAAATCCCATTGAGCCTCAAGGACTCATTTACAAGAGAGACCTGATTTCAACAAAGAAAGATGACAACAATGGACACCAGCAACAACAATAAACAGTTATAAAAAAGCATACTACAGTTTTGTTTTTTGTTTTTTTAACAAATAGGATGGCTAAAAGGAAAAGGTAACAAAACAAAAAACAGCTAGATTCCAAGACAAATGTAGAAAACTAACAACAGGAACATGTCAGCATTGGACCCTGCCAGGTGTCCAACAGATTCTTAAAGACACTTAGAGAGGTCAAGGTCGAGAGCTTCAAATCTTTTTGTAAGATGTTCCAGGAAACAGGAGCGGAATAGGAGAAGGCCCTTGTGCCTAGTTCAGTCCTCATTGAGGGAACACTGCAGGTAATAATGTCCTGAGAGCGCACTCCGTAGCTGCACTCACGCAGAGACATGTAGGAGGAGATGTATGAAGGCAACAGACCAAGAAGTGATTTAAAGATGAAAATGTACCAGTGAGAGAGTCTGCGTGAAGTTAATGATGTCCAGTTAACCAGTGAATACTGGGTGCAGTGGTGGGTACGATAATCACAGCCAGTTATGAATCTTAGTGCACCATGATAGACAGCATCCAACATCTGCAGGGTTCTTGTAGGAGCGTTCATGTAAATAATATCACCATAATCAATTGAGGGCCAAATTTGCCGGAGGGCCAAAACCAATGTGCACATTCATACAGACAAGAATTGCATAAGTGTTACTCATTTACCAAACAGTTTCATGCCAGATGGTAGAAATTGATGGTTATGTGATATAAGTACTGAAGCACCTGAATACAGTTCTATCAAAGTTTTTTTTTTATCCACTCCCTTGTCTTTCAAATTAAACATGCAAAATATACACATTATACACCAAAGCACGATGTTCAATATGGAATTGTGTGCTTTTATTTTTGCCATCAGATGTCTGCACAATGTAAGACAAAACTAGCACACATAAAACAAAATTAAACTGCAACAAAATGAATAGAGATCAATGGGACTTTAGCTGAACTTAGGGGAAATTTAGGAGAAAATCACAACTTCTAGAACAGTGGGAGACACACTGGGCTAAAGAAATTAAAAAAATCCCCATGTTTTGATGTAATATCTGAAGGTCATGAGAGTAACAAATGTTTGCTTGCAAAATATTGGAAAATTTCAGACAGTTCAAGGAAAGTGACATCAACTGCCAGCTGAACATTTTCTGTAAAAAAAAAAAAAAAAAAAAAAAAAAGTAAAAAAAATAAAGATAAATATCTAAACGATTGTTCAGATGTTTAAAGTCTAACCCTCTGCGACTTGTTTAAACTTTTTGTAAAGTACACCTAAGCTTTAAACCTCCAAAGCAGGCTGGCTTTCTCACAAGTTCAGGCTCGGTTCTCAGTCTGTTTCTGTCCGCCACTGAGTCACTTCAGGGAGTGACAGACACAGATGTGTTGTTACCATGGTGCCCATTGTGAGCCACTGACAGCTTTAACATTTCTTGGTTCTCTTTATACATTAAAACATCATCATGTTTTCTTAGTTTAGATTATTACACTTGTACTGAAACTTCAGTCAGTAGCTGCATTTGCACCCATCAAAACTGGAAGTGGTTTGTGGTTTCACAGTTTAAAAAAAATATATATATATACAGTGGTGCGACTTTTAACAGGGTGTGATAAATGAGTATAACAAATATGGCACCAGCTGCAGTTTCACAATTAGCTTTTACTACTCGAGAATTTTCTCAAAGTAAACTACATCAGAAACTCATAAACTCAACTACTTCCCTCTGGTAGTGAAAAATTAGACCAGAAAACAATTTCTTAGTTGCTCCAAAACATGGAAGTAATCAAATATTGTAAAAAGAAGGGAGAAAACAAGTGCATAAGTGATAAATGCATGTGGAAGGGAATGAGCATGTGAGTCTTTAATTTCCTATTTTATTGCACAATTACAATCATCATGATCTGCAGCACAAACCACAGTAAAGCTATGGATGAACAATGACATCATCAATGATTCATGAATAAAAGTACATCTGGAAAGACTGGGTCTCTCTGCCCACGGGTGACATCACACAAGAAGAAGGTCAAGATGTTAGTTTGTAAACACAGAGAGGAACAAGTTCATATTTGGACCCACAGAGGCTGTTTTTCCTCAGACTGCTGTTGTACGATTTAAAGATAATGAATGAACAATGTTCATC